TCCAGCAAGCAGATTTGTAAATAGTATTACAGTAGCCTGTGGAAGTTCTGTTTTTTTAAATTAATAAAATTAAAATAAATTAATAATAAATAAAACTAAAAGCAATTGAAGAAGTAAGAACGTAACCATTAATTTTGGGATACATTTTCGCAACATCTTGGATCGCCCCCAAACTCGTGACTAAAGTACCGGTAGAAATGAATCACGACAGTGTTTAACAAACCTTACTTATTAAAGTGACATTATATTATTATTACATTATATTTTTATATTATTCATTATATTATTATATATTACATTATATTATTCAATAAATGCGGTAAACGGCATTTGAGTCACGAGTTTATTTGGCACTAGGGGAACGCAGCAGAGCGAGTGTTTAATAAACGAGTGATATAAATAGTGTGGCAAACGTGTTGCATACTATACTTTTTCTAAGAGCGTTAGTCAAAATTCAACCCGTGTGGTAAAAGTGACGCTTCCCCTATATAATTAGGTATTTTACCTTAGGGAGTAGAAAAATATATACAGTGAACCCTATTGTGAGATTAGTATTTACCAAAGTATAGATGTGTTGTCTTTGAAAATGAAGTAGTAGTTTAATCTTTATTTGCTAAATTGAGTAAGAAATTGTTTTATAACTTTGAATGTACATAAACTGTTAACATTGCCATTATTTACCAAAGAATTTATTAATTACAGTTTTATCTAAATTTTCGACGCCTCTTATCTGCTGGCTTCCTGACTTTAACAATTTGCTATCGTTCTAATTTTGAAGTAAGTAAATTGGGAGAAAAAAAAATGAAAATCTTATTTTTTCCGATCTATCTGCAACATACTTTTTGATTGTTAAATATTGTGCTGTGATGTTTTCTATATTTTAAAATTGGTTTGGTTAACATAATATAACATAACAAAACGACACACTGACAATATTAACGACAATTAATGAGACGCAAAATTTGCTTTTGATTTGCCTTTTAGATAACAAGAAAAGTTGTGAAGTTTTTTGTTTCGGCTACCCGAAATATTCCTTACAAGATTACCGATTATTATACTCAATGTGTCCGTTTAATAAGTATTGTTCGTAAAGTAGCCGATAAATTTAACAAAAATCAGACAGAAATATCGTTTAATGTTACACACAAAACAAATCAAAAAAAGGGTCTTTAAATTCTGCAAAATAAAAAAAACGCAATTTTCATTTAAAATAATAACAATTAGGTTATCAAAGAAAAGGAAAGAAAATTGTGCTCCAGGACTCTCCAAGAACTACCATTTCAATTTTAAATTTCTTAAACATTAAAGCATGGGTCATTCATTAATCGTCCTTTATATAGCACTAACTATACCATTTATAACACAAGAAATTGCAACTTCCTAAAAAAATATTTAAAAACCAAATGTTTAACGAAGAGCGGAAAACGAGACATTTCAATATTGCGATGTAACTGAAAATGGGCTTGTTCAGAATTAACATAATTTAATATACCACCAACTTGTGGGCGTCGGAGAGGAAAGAAATGAATTAAAATTAATAATACCATCAGGTTTGAAATGCAATGCGACGTGTATACGCTTTTTATTGTTGACAGACAGTTATTTCGATAAATATTTATCACTGTCCCGAATTTTTTTTTATCAATTATTTTGAGTCGTACCGAACCTTCGAATAATTCGTACGTTAGCTGTTTACATATGGTCATATGCAGAACATACGTCAAAGTTATCGCATGAAATTGAAGGGTGCATTTATGCGTGTCAAATGATGGATCTGTAGAGAAAGACAAAAAAAATTAACACCATATTATTCATTTTGTCTTGAACGCACAGCGGGCAAATGATTAGAGGGGATGGATTCAGTAAGTGTTATATTAGAATATAAATTATGAATTGTCTCTTAACCTAATTTCGTATAATTAAAAAGTTGACAATCTAATTGACAAGAAAAAAATGTTGTAAATATTTTTTTATTTTTTATTATTTATCAATAATAATAATAACAATAAAGTCTTTATTGCAGAAGAGTCAAGTGGCCAAGTTTTTTCTTACGATTATACTTTCACTTAACCAGAGTTACGAGAAGTAGGTACATAAAATATAATATAATGTAATATACCTAATGTAAAATAATTACAAAGGAGAATAACAACAGTGTTACTAATGAGGATTTTATTTTCTCTCGCAATAACAGCCTCGTAATGTAAGTTGTACTTTTTAGTTACTAAATCCAAAGAAATATCATTGTTTGAAAAAAAAAAAAGCTTATTAATACCCGTATAAGAAGAGAACGCTTGATTAAGGTTAATACTCCTATTTATTCAAATCGTCATCAATCATGTTAGGAGGTACAAGTTGCTATTAATTATTGAATACTTCGAAATTAGAACTTCCCATTAGGCTAAAATGCGAAACTGTGATTCTTCGTATATTCGAGATCCCAGTGATTTGGTCACATTGCTAACCTTAATAGATTGCTTGTCAAATAAGTAACAGATGTTTCAAAAATACAATTGCTATGTACGAACCTGTAAGATATGGTCGAGACGAATTTTATTTTTGCGTTATTAATTTACTAGTATACTTCTCTACTAGTACATTTACGAAATAGAGAAACTTCCTTCACGCGGTAAGAAGTTATAAGCAATTTCAGGAAAGTGTAGAGTATGTACTGAAATAGGAAATGCCGTTCAGTTCCGCAGGGCCTATGTATACTTATCAAAATAAGCTTTGTTGCCATTTTTGACAACCAACTTACCTGATAAGTATATTTTATAAATTTTTCTACTTCCCCAAATGTACCCAAAAATTAAAAAAAAACTAAAAAATAAACTGGTAACCCAAATCACTGGTAACCCAAATCACACCTACACCACACTTATTGCATAATATGCTATTTTCTCTTCCTTCTGTAAAATCCAAATTTGGTAAACTTTTTAAGTCACGAGTTTATTTGGCACGAACGAAGCGCAGCGGAGAGATTTTTGAAAGAAGGTTTGTCTATCCTTTCACTAGTGCTATATGATAGGTTACAACACATAAATTCGGATGTTCTTGATGTTCTTCACAATAATAGTTATGGATATTGTAAGCTAACAAGAAATTAACGACTCTTTAACCACCAAACCAAAAAATATTGTATTTAAACATCATTTGATAAAGAAGGACAAACATATAGCAAATTTATACAAATATCTAACCTAAATCCTGTAGAACTTAATATGAGCGTAAGTGAAATGAGAAATCATGTAGCAAGACATTCAAAATGAAACATAAGTTACTGTTTGTTCAAGCCAGGAAGTGACACCAGAGAACTGGAGAAATTCAATTCAGCACGTCGCTAAAGAAGAGAAAATGTGGGATCTTGACTATTTGGTCGATTGGACCGTCGACCCGTTAATTATAACATCACAAGAAGTGACGGTTTCTGATATTATGAAGAATATTATGACTTTTTTCAATTTGATTGAATTTACCTTCTGTATAATGTATTTTTTTATACTGTTTAATTAAAATTACCGGGTACCTAATACTGTAGAAAATACCTAATTTTTATTCTATTAAAACCAAATGCCATCCTTTTTAAGAGTATCATATTGGGACGCATCCCATTTTCATTGTTGGTGAATGGATAACAATACGCAAACCCGGGTGGTACTAGAATTTTGTTTGCATTCCTATTGAGGTTTCATTATTATTCTATACCTTTCTGAATTTGTAAAAAATATTAAAAAAAAAACTTGTTTGGCTTCACTTATACGTTTAAAATATTATATTAAATTATATACAGGAAAGAACCCGGAATCCTCGACAAGTAACGACTTTCTCATTTCAAATAGAACAAGGCATTATTGAATTCCGTTGAACTTCTACGTATAGTTCATGTGTAATATCCTATACCGAAGTCTTACCGTTTAAAATTTTGTTCTAAAAAAGACGTTTGCAGGTCAAAATTTACCTGCCGATTTCTTCGACTGAAAGCTATTGTTTTCTTGGGGTTGATTTTTCTTATAGAAGCAGATTTACTTTGGGGGTATATGTTAGAAATAGATAAATAGAAATAAATAAATACACGGTGGCCAAAAACTAACATTAAAAATTGGAATGAAAAATCGTTAAAAACTAAATGGAAATACCCTCTTTTTTATAATTTTATCATATTTGGCATTAAAAAAATTATATTAGGTTTTCTATTTTAAAAAGGTTTCTACATTGAAATATTAGCAAAAAAATTGTTTCCATTGCAAAAATGATAAACCACTAACAGAAAAAAAAACAATGAGGCGTTTCAGTTTTTAAATTAGTGTAACTTCTAAAATTGGAACATATTTCGTCAAAAATACTTACATTTACGGAAAAGTAACCAGATTGACTAAATCATACAATAAACACTGTTTTAAACGAATAATAGAAAATTTGTATATATATTTTTTTGAATGTTACACATAATAAACCCACTTTTTAATTTGTTGTATTTCCTAATAGTATTTTCTTTATTATTTAGTTTTATTAAACGTTTTATTGACTCAAGATCATGTTATTGTAATAAAATCATAACAATAAAAAATGAAGTTAGGTTGTGTAAAACTATCAAACATTGATTTCCAAATCAACAGCAGCATTTTTGAAGTTTTCGATTGATAGTGATTTTTCACCATGTTTCGTCATCATAGTTTGCTTATAATGAAAAAAAAAACGTTTTTTCTGGGAATCTGGGTAGATTTTGACAAAAGTTCCGCAACGAAACTGAAAACCGTCGAATGTTGGTTGTTGAATAGCGTTGAAAGCGTTGATGCGAGTTTTAAAATGGCCCTTCTCAGCATGTTTTGAAGTTCGCTTCACCACTGCCTGTATTATCGGCATAGGACAAGGCTTCTGATGTGGATTGTTCATTTCAAGCAAGAAAATTTTCTTGAAAATTTATGATATAGTACGATAAATGACTGGATAATTGTCCCTTTGGAAGTGGTCGATAAAACACATAGGTATTGTAGCAAGAATATTATATTTTTTAACGTTTTCAAATATACAACTTTAAAAGATTCACTAACTCGTAAGATTTTTTGATTCTTAAAAACCAAATATTCGAATTCTGATTTTTTATATAAAACAGTCGAAATCGCAGCGCGACATGTTTCTTCATTCATAACTGACCCGCGCGAGTATTTTACTCAACAAAAACCTCCAAAACAAAGAATCCGGAATCTCTCAAACAAAATTAGAACCGGCGTTTATATATATTGCACAAATTCATTTACCTAACTTTTGATAATTCAAGTACTGAAACAAGTTTTTCTGACTCCCGCCAAAATTTCACTAAAATCGTCTTCGTTTTTCGGGGCGACACCAGACGCGAGATCGTACACTTCCGGACAACCGACGAATTCTGATTTCACGGCACCCGTTGGATGAATCACACTAGTGGGCTGTGATTGGTAACTGTAGGACAAAACCGGAGAATTTTGTGACACGGCACTCGAAGTTAGCACTTCGGGTCGATGATAGTTGTGATTCGAATCTACACCTCTCAAGTCCAGACCACTAGAGGCGTTATTCCCATCAAATTTGAGGTACTTGTCAAACTCTTGCGTATCCACGTCGGAGTCGGGGTCGCTGCGCTCCTCCGAAATGTAATTTTGGACTATATTTTGTTGATCCGAAGACTGGGGATAGTCTTGGTACGGGTCTTCGAGGCCCTTGTACGGATGGAGATACTCGTTGGGAGGTGGCTTATCCATCAACGGCTTTATGTGAGAATAACTATAACAAAATTAATGGCGTTACACAAACATTGCGCTTTGTATAACATGGCAACAGTGAACTCGATCTGAGATGGATTGGTAACGACGTGATATAGAACTGATGTAAATTTTACATTAGAAAAAGTGATAGTAATGGGAATTGTGCTCTTTTTCTCACTCATATTAACTGGAGAAAGTGGTGTTCGCGTAGTTTGATTGCATTATTTACCAATATACTACTGCAATTATTGCGTGATCAAACAAAATTTTCTTTAAATATTACGTATAAAATTAAAATTATAATAATCTGAATTCTTAAAAAACGTAACGTACAAAAATAATTGATTATTAAAAACAGTACCTATTTATTTGAGGTGTTTTTAATAATTTTTTACCTAAATATATCTATGACCAATGTTTTTCATTTCTTGAACAAGATCAAATTTTCTTTTTAAATTTTTGTGAACGTTCAACGCCTGTAATTTTTAACCAATCAAAACGTGTTTTTTCGACAGATTACTATGGCACCGGATGGGTTTTAGTGGATATTTTTTGACGTTGTTATGGTTTCTAAAAAATCAAGTGGACGAAATCTTCTGTTTTGTTGGTACTTAATGAAGACAAAAATTAACATTATTGGAGATCAAAAAATAAATGTGTCTACTCCCGTCTGTATAATACGTAATTACACACCGTAGCATGTGCGAAGCATCACTTTACCACATCAGTTTCGTTTCCCATGAATCCGAGCCACTTCTGACCTTTCCGGGATTTTACCGAACGGGTTTGGGGGCAATCGGATGTTTTCGGAGATATTTCCCACGCTTTGAATTTTGACGTTTGCCAATTCAGACGGTCATGTCAGTGAATTGATTCGTGTTGTTTTGCGAAAATGTACCCAAAACTAACGGTCGTAGACAAGACAACACGTTCGGTAAACTTTTTAAGTCACTCGTTTATTAAACACTCGCTCCGCTCGTTTCAAATAAACTCGTGAGTCAAATGCCGTTTCCCGCATTTGTTGCATAATATACTATTAATCATTTGATTTCAGAACATAATTTGGTGTGGGATTTTCTTATCGAATACCACACGAGGTCAAATTAAATCAAAATTGATCAAAAAGATATTCATGAGCTCGAAAAAATTTCTGGAAACAATTTGACTTCTAGTGAGAATTAAATAAAAAAAATGAATAACAAAATAGTGATTTATTTTTTAATTCTAAACAATATCAAATAAAATTAAATTAACAATTTTCGTTTTTACATTGTTTCAATAATCATAGTTATATATTTTTCTCCTGATAACTCTAAAATACCCCATTCAAAACGTCACCTGAATTCGCGTGTAAAGAGTGATTTATAAAATGTTGCGAGTTATTATTTATTTACTAGCCAAAACTCAGATCATATACCTACAGATTGGGGGGGTGGGGGTGAGCTTGAGCTTTGGTCAATCAGTGGCTGTTTGTATGTGTTATATACCCATTACTACAACCATATTTACTATTTTATAAAATGTATTTTAATCAACAAGAGCACGAAATTATTACCAGGTATTCTATACACAAGATTGTACACAATCACTTCTTTCAAAGAAGCATAAACGATTAATCTAATTAACGTGACAAAGTACCCTCCGGTAGCAAACGATTTATCCCCAAAATCTCCAACAGGTATAAAATGTAAACAATCTAGGAAAATAAAATATCCCTTATAAAATCCATACCCGCTGCCTTACCGAAAAACAAGTAACTTACTTTAGAAAATCATCCTTCTCACTTTGATCGTAAGTCGCGTATTCTTTGACCGTGTAGTAAGGTTGAACATTCGCGTTGTAATAGTGAATACCACCAGCGGCAGAGTTGGCTATCACAGTATTCATTGCATTCTGCTGACTAACTCCCAGCAATTGCTGATCTTGACTGGTTGCTACTGGAGGATAAAACGTGCCGGTAACCACATGACCCTGTTCTACGCCACTCTTACTAGCGCACATAACGTACATTCCGTTCGCCATCGGCACAGAAGTGATAGGTTGAGTGTTTGTGTAACTTTGACTAATTTGTCTGAAGTTTTGAACCTGAAACGCAATACGCAAGTTGCAAAGAGAGCAGAAACGCAATAAACAATGATTACCTTTGTACTATAATGCGCTTGCGTGTTGGGAACATTGTTCGCATGTTGAATATTTGACACTCTGGTTTTGCTATCCTCATACGCGTTGTAATGTTCTTTTTCGTGTTGCTCCAACGGACTCATTTCTGGCGTTGGAAGCTGTGCGTTTTTTTCTTGGCTATTCGTGTCTTTTCCAGGTTCTTGAGGGCTCGGCGGAATTTTTTTCGGCTCCGGACTGTGGGTGGGCGATGTTTCGGGCGTGTGTATCGAGTAAGGGCTTTTTTGGGGAAAGTTTTGGTAACCCACGTAACTAAATTGATTAAATTTGTAGCTATCTGGACTATACCTGAAATAAAGTTTGGAGATAAAATTGATCCTCGTTTGTTAAATCGGAAAATTTGATTGAAGTGAAACGAATTAAAGGTGTAAAACTGATATGCGCTAGTTATCTGGAATATAGCTTTTTGTTGGAATATACGATAAAAAATACCATGACGGTGTATTAGCTAGCTCTGTAATAATTGTGTGACAAAAAAGATCTGGAAGACAGGGCACAATATATACTCACCATGGTGTTTTATGATTTGTAATCCAACACAATTGGTTTATACCCAGAAACATGGTTCGGAAAAAGAAAGAACCCCTTCTAAATTTATTTAAGACTCTTTCCTTAGAACCATTGAACAATGATCCATAAACTGTTCTGACGTGTATAAAAAACCACGACCAATAATTCCAATTACTTACTGATAACGAATTAGGCGAAATGCATTGAAGTTATAGTGAAAGAAATACAGATAATGTTTTTTGGGCTGTTTGTTGGTACGGTAGAATACTACCCAGGTGGATTTATCGATTGAAACACAAGAATCTTACTCATATACGAGGTTAGCGCCAAAATTTCCCGGCCTGACATAGATGCAGCTTCAGTATCACGATAAAACTTTGTCTTCTTTTAAATATATATCTTAGTAGGCTGCAAAAACAAAAATTGAAGTCTTGCGTCAAATAGTTTTTTATTGACGGCATTTTAAACAAGACGTGTCCGAAAAAATGTCGCAAACACCGCAAATTGAGTATAGAGCAGTCATAAAAGTTTTGACAAAAGAAGGGTTAGCACCTAAAATTCTCCTTCGTATTCTGTAGTGAATGAATGGGCAAACCGTTTTCGAATGGGCAGGAGTCAATTGAAGATGATTCAACAACTGGTCAATCAGTGGAGGTCATAACGGAAGATATTGTTGCGATTGTGGAAGAGGTGGTATTGACTGATCGACGTTTAAAGGTCAAGGAAATCTCAGAAATTAATTAGCTTTCTGATACAAGTGTTCGTCGAATCCTGCATGATCATTTAGGTATGCATAAAGATGCAAGATGGGTTCCTAAAAACCTTTTCGCTATTCAAAAATAACGCCGTGTCGAGTGTGCGCGATCTGTGGGTCGGAACCGAAGCCTGTGATAGGAACTATTGAGACGGGAGATGAAATTATGGTTCTCTATTATGACCCTCTATCGAAAAAAGAATCAATGGAGTGGCGTCGTAAGGGTGAAGCACCTCCAAGAAAATTCAGAGTCTGCCACTCAACAAAAAAGGTGATGGCCACGATCTTTTGGGATTGTGAAGAAATTCTTTTGATAGATTTTAAAGAAACTAATACCACTGTCAATGGTAAATATTACGCAACATTATTACATAAATTGCGAGACAGCATACGTGTAAAACGTCGAGGAAAACTGACCGAAGGCGTGAGTCTTTTGTACGATAATGCACCTGTTTATACTGCTGGTGTTGCACAAGCTGCCATTTTAGAGTGTGGGTTCTAACAGATAGATCATCCTCCCTATAGTCCAGATATGGCCCCCAGCGACTATTATTTGTTTGGATATTTGAAAAAGGATTTACGTGGACGTAGCTCATTTTGCAGACAAACCAAAATAATATTTTATTAAAGGGATTAAGTTAAGGGGGATTATATCGAAAAATAATAAAAAAATGTTACTCTACTTTGCTTCTTTCATAGTCAGCCGGGAAATTTTGGCGCTGCCCTCGTACATTGTATCAACCTCCATAATTATTAATTAGGACTACTTGCGGTAGCAAGAAGTTATCCATAAACCACGCAAAAGATAGCGATGCGATGGAGAACGGAAAAATAGTACAAAATTCTCAACAGATGACAAGAAGAGTGAGTCACAGAGAAAGCAAATCCCAGACGGGCAGAACAATTAGTGAAATAACGGTAATAAGTTATCTGATAAAATGATAGAATGACGAGTATAAAAAAAAAAACAGAAAAGAAACAAAGAATAGCTGCTGTCAACAGTAAATTCAATTCTGCATTGAGTAATGTCAGTCGACAAGACCATGTGATTTTGGTGGGTATGCAACACAGCTTTAAATATTTTTACTAAATATTCCTGCCACTGTAATTTATTTCTATTACCATTAAAATTGTTAAAAGCGCACCATAATTTGTTGCTTCTCTGTAGATAATAGATTGATTTGTGACAATCTCTTTGAAAAGAATGTTTATCTAATATGCATTACCTTTTCTCTTGACCGCTATATTCTCCAATACTCCCACCTGGACTTGGAAAATCCATGGGGGAGCCGTAACCACTTGCCGACACTGTAGGCGACAATCCCGCATTAGGAACATAACCCTGGTAACGAGGAGACATATTTGGCAAGTTTGGGCTAGGCAACGAAGCTCCAACTCGTGGCCCTCCAGGTGTCGCCCGTTGTTTATTGTGCTTGCGCCGGCGTGGTCTGTACTTATAGTTAGGATGTTCAGTCATGTGTATTACTCTCAATCGTTCAGCTTCTTCAACGAACGGTCTTCGGTCTTGTGGAGTGAGAGATCGCCATTTTTTGCCTGAAAAAGAAGAATTTTTTGTATATAGCTACGTGTGGTAATTAGAGTCGCTCATAATATTTTTACGACGTCAACTCCAAAGTTGTTGTGATCTATATATAGTTGACGTGTTTCATTATGGTTTTCATTGATCGTGATTATCTTTAAATACATAAATTTGCATTATTATTAGCTATTATTGTTCCTTACCAAGAGATATGGTACAAAAGTGCACCTAGAAATATTTTTATATTTTATATAAAATTCCTAATTATACACCGATTTAGTGTGCAAAAAGTGTCATTTTACAACGTCAGTTTCATTTCCCACGGATCCGAGCCACATTTTTAGTATATTGCTGCACGGCTTGAATTTTAATGTTTGTCAATTCTGACTGGCAGTGAATATATTCGTGTTGTTTTGCAAAAATGTACCCAAAAACTAATGGTCATAGAAAAAGTATAGTATGCAACACGTTTGGTAAACTTTTTAAGTCACTCGTTCATTAAGTACTCGCCCACTACCAAATAAACTCGTGACTCACATGCCGTTAACCACACGTTCATCACATTTTTCCATCCGTGAATCAATATGTGAAAATATCATATACCTTTACGGGGAGAAGACCTTTACAGCCACCAAGTTTTATGAAAAACTAAGACAAAGGAGGGTTACTTCGCTATGCAACTTGAATTTTCTTATAAATTGCCGCAACCAGAACTTGCTGCCAACATTTACAAGGTTGCCTTATCACACACGCACCAAAAAGACACAAGCTATCCCGGACATGCCCAGTGTTCGAAGTGTTTTCGGAGCGCGAGCACTGAAGATGCCAAGTGAGATTTTGATATATATATATATATATATATATATATATATATATATATATATATATATATATATATATATATATATATATATATATATATATATATATATATATATATATATATATATATATATATATATATATATATATATATATATATATATTGTTTATATTTTGTTTTTTCTTAGACCTTCTCTATATTTATGTTTAGCTTTTGGTTCTTGGGTTATAGGTCTTTGTATTAAAAGCGATTAAAATTTTTTTTGTCCATATATTGACGTTTCGGTCTTCTATGACCTTCTTCAGAAAGGGGTACAGTCTAAAATTATGTTATAGTACAGTTCTTTTTTTTTACATATACACAACGGAATTACAAAGAACCTTACCAAAAAGAGACAAACACAAATCTTAAAATTGAAGAGGTAGCATCATATGAAAGTTTATACTTTAAAAGCGTTTGGTTTTGTCATAGTGCCTAGAAATATTATTGTTTTGGTTTTTTCCAACTATGAGAATAAAAAAGTCATACCCTTGATAAAAGATAAAAGTCCAACAAAAAATGATTTGTATACGGCACTCACACACATAATACACACAAATTTAACGAAACAGTTAAAATATATATAAGAGTTTAAAATAATAATAATAATAATAATAATACCGATACGCGAGGTTTGCTCGCGTCGACGTTACTGTAAAAACATCGTACGATGCACGATTGTTTTGGTGCAAGGTTCAGAGGATATACAGAGTGTTTTTGTTAATTTATAATTTTTTTCTTTTATTTATTTTAAATTATTTTTATATATTATAATTTTATATTAATATATCCCTATGTTGTTACTTCCATTGTTGTTTTATTTCAGAATGTTGCAATATAACTTACTGAGATTGTTGGTGTCTGTTTTCGAATTTATAGAGTTCTTATTTTTTTGGATCTCAACCATTTCCAGAATTTCCCTTTTTTTTGTATTATTTTCGGTTTTTAGAATTTTTACTTTCGCAAAGTTGAAAGAATGCTTGGTTTCCGCGCAATGACTCTTCAGGGCAGTCGTATTTTTTTTGTCGTATTTGTGACCATTAATTCTGTTTTTAAGATACTGGCTTGTTTGACCGATGTACACACCCTCACAATCGTTGCAAGGTATCTCGTAAATGACGTGACTCTTCTTTTCGTCCGGTATCTTGTCTTTTAATTTACTGAAAATGTTTTTTACCAAATTGTATCCTTTGTGAGCAATAGTAATGTTGTGATTCATAAAAATTTTGCTAAAATTTTCGGACATACTGGGTATATAAGGAAGCGAAAGATAATTTTTTTTTTGTTTTTGTTGGGTGTTGCTTTTTTGTTTAGTTTGGTTATAGAATAGGTGTATACGTTTTTTGAAAATGGTGTTAATTAATCGTTCCGGATAGTTATTTAGTTTTAATGCTTGTTTTGCTTTAGTAATCGATTTTTCTCTGAAATCCGGATCAGAGAGTTTAATTGCACGGTCAGCCAAGCCAATAATTACGGATTTTTTTTGCGATATAGGGTGCTGGGAGTTAAAATTAACGTATCTGGAAGACCAGGTCACTTTAGTGTACCACTCGGTTTTAATTCCTTTTTTTAAATTATGAAGGGTTAAATCTAAAAAGTTGATTTTACTTTGGGACTCTATTTCTATTGTAAATTGTAATTTCTGATGGTAGCTGTTGAAGAGTTGAAGAATTTCGTGTTGTTTGTTTTTTGGTATTGCCGTTATGCAATCGTCTACGTATCTGTAGAAAAAAGGTATGTCAAAAAGGGCATTGCTAAGGACCGACTCCTCCAAATCTTCCAGTACAATTTGTGCGATGGCGCTGGAAATTGAAACTCCCATGGCGCATCCGTCGATTTGTTGATAAAAAACTTTGTTATATGCAAAATAGGTTGATTTTAGTGTTATTTCGACTGCTTCTAAAAAGTCATCGAGCGGAATGTCGGTAAAGGTTTTGATGTTATCCCATTTTTTGATGATTACTTGCTTAGCAATATTTATTGGAATGTTGGTGTATAGAGAAGCAACATCTAATGAAACTAGGATGTAATCGTTGGGTAGAGAAATATTTTTAATTTTGTTTTTGAAATCAAAAGAGTCTTTAATATAGTATCTATTTTTATGTATAACGTTTTGCAAGATGTTCTTTAAAAATTTTGAGAGTTTTTCAAATGGTGATTGGATACATGATACTATTGGTCTTAGAGGGATGGATTCCTTGTGAAGCTTGGGTAATCCATAAATTCTGGGTGGCTGAGAATTAAGAATTTTTAAGCTTTGCGCTGTGCTATGGGAAATGTATAACTTTTTTTCCCAGGAGGACACTAAGTCGTTGTTCTTTCTCTGAAAAATAGCTGTTGGGTCGTTTTTCATTTCTCTGTAGGTGGTATTGTCTTTTAGTAGATCTAGCATTTTTTTGTCATACTGAGCGTCCGTCATAATAACTGTTTTATTTGTTTTATCTGGTATCAAAATTTTGAGTTCTTTATGTTGTTTCAGGAAACGTTCTGTTTTTTTAATTTTAGCGCATAGTTTTGAATTTTGTTTATTTTGATCTGTTTTTTTTGGTTTTTTGTTGAATTTATTTTTGTAATTAGTTATTATATTGCAACATTCCGATCGCACCCCGTCCCTAGTTTGAGTGTTAAGACCGTTTAAGGAAGTTTCTATACCTGCAATTATGTCACCGATTGGTAACTGATCGGCTCGTTCTAACGGTGTAGCAAAATTTGGACCAAGACTCAAAACTTCATTTACGTATTCCGGAATAACGGTCTCTGTTAGATTTTCCACCCAATCGGTGACACAAATATCTGGATTTTTGTTTTTTTTGTATAATTGTTCGAATTTCTTAATGTTTTTGTTTTTAATTTTTTGGAACAAGAATTCGGTTTTTTTTGTTTGTCTGTCGATCAAAATTGTTGATATGTTTGCAGGGACTAGAGTGGTGAGCTTTTCTATAAAACCGTCAATTTGCCTTTGTAGTTTTGAGATATTTTTAGTTGTGTCCGTGATTAAAAGATTTATTGTATTTAGCACAAAATTTCCCATGATGCCCTCTCTGAATTTCTTTTCGAGATGTTTACAATTAAAAGTGATGTGTTTCATTTTAAAATTGAGAAAAATGGGGGTTACACCGTCGTTTTTGCACCGAAGGAGGAATATTCTTCTGTTCTTCTGTTTGCATAGTTGTGTTACTGATTTGCAGTATAATTTCAAGGTTCTTGTAGTTCCCTCGCCGAAAGTGTTAGAGATGTATTCGTAGGTAAGCATATTTTCACCCATGCTGTATATATATTGTTTATATTTTGTTTTTTCTTAGACCTTCTCTATATTTATGTTTAGCTTTTGGTTCTTGGGTTATAGGTCTTTGTATTAAAAGCGATTAAAATTTTTTTTGTCCATATAATGACGTTTCGGTCTTCTATGACCTTCTTCAGAAAGGGGTACAGTCTAAAATTATGTTATAGTACAGTTCTTTTTTTTTACATATACACAACGGAATTACAAAGAACCTTACCAAAAAGAGACAAACACAAATCTTAAAATTGAAGAGGTAGCATCATATGAAAGTTTATACTTTAAAAGCGTTTGGTTTTGTCATAGTGCCTAGAAATATTATTGTTTTGGTTTTTTCCAACTATGAGAATAAAAAAGTCATACCCTTGATAAAAGATAAAAGTCCAACAAAAAATGATTTGTATACGGCACTCACACACATAATACACACAAATTTAACGAAACAGTTAAAATATATATAAGAGTTTAAAATAATAATAATAATAATAATACCGATACGCGAGGTTTGCTCGCGTCGACGTTACTGTAAAAACATCGTACGATGCACGATTGTTTTGGTGCAAGGTTCAGAGGATATACAGAGTGTTTTTGTTAATTTATAATTTTTTTCTTTTATTTATTTTAAATTATTTTTATATATTATAATTTTATATTAATATGTTGTTACTTCCATTGTTGTTTTATTTCAGAATGTTGCAATATAACTTACTGAGATTGTTGGTGTCTGTTTTCGAATTTATAGAGTTCTTATTTTTTTGGATCTCAACCATTTCCAGAATTTCCCTTTTTTTTGTATTATTTTCGGTTTTTAGAATTTTTACTTTCGCAAAGTTGAAAGAATGCTTGGTTTCCGCGCAATGACTCTTCAGGGCAGTCGTATTTTTTTTGTCGTATTTGTGACCATTAATTCTGTTTTTAAGATACTGGCTTGTTTGACCGATGTACACACCCTCACAATCGTTGCAAGGTATCTCGTAAATGACGTGACTCTTCTTTTCGTCCGGTATCTTGTCTTTTAATTTACTGAAAATGTTTTTTACCAAATTGTATCCTTTGTGAGCAATAGTAATGTTGTGATTCATAAAAATTTTGCTAAAATTTTCGGACATACTGGGTATATAAGGAAGCGAAAGATAATTTTTTTTTTGTTTTTGCTGGGTGTTGCTTTTTTGATTAGTTTGGTTATAGAATAGGTGTATACGTTTTTTGAAAATGGTGTTAATTAATCGTTCCGGATAGTTATTTAGTTTTAATGCTTGTTTTGCTTTAGTAATCGATTTTTCTCTGAAATCCGGATCAGAGAGTTTAATTGCACGGTCAGCCAAGCCAATAATTACGGATTTTTTTTGCGATATAGGGTGCTGGGAGTTAAAATTAACGTATCTGGAAGACCAGGTCACTTTAGTGTACCACTCGGTTTTAATTCCTTTTTTTAAATTATGAAGGGTTAAATCTAAAAAGTTGATTTTACTTTGGGACTCTATTTCTATTGTAAATTGTAATTTCTGATGGTAGCTGTTGAAGAGTTGAAGAATTTCGTGTTGTTTGTTTTTTGGTATTGCCGTTATGCAATCGTCTACGTATCTGTAGAAAAAAGGTATGTCAAAAAGGGCATTGCTAAGGACCGACTCCTCCAAATCTTCCAGTACAATTTGTGCGATGGCGCTGGAAATTGAAACTCCCATGGCGCATCCGTCGATTTGTTGATAAAAAACTTTGTTGTATGCAAAATAGGTTGATTTTAGTGTTATTTCGACTGCTTCTAAAAAGTCATCGAGCGGAATGTCGGTAAAGGTTTTGATGTTATCCCATTTTTTGATGATTACTTGCTTAGCAATATTTATTGGAATGTTGGTGTATAGAGAAGCAACATCTAATGAAACTAGGATGTAATCGTTGGGTAGAGAAATATTTTTAATTTTGTTTTTGAAATCAAAAGAGTCTTTAATATAGTATCTATTTTTATGTATAACGTTTTGCAAGATGTTCTTTAAAAATTTTGAGAGTTTTTCAAATGGTGATTGGATACATGATACTATTGGTCTTAGAGGGATGGATTCCTTGTGAAGCTTGGGTAATCCATAAATTCTGGGTGGCTGAGAATTAAGAATTTTTAAGCTTTGCGCTGTGCTATGGGAAATGTATAACTTTTTTTCCCAGGAGGACACTAAGTCGTTGTTCTTTCTCTGAAAAATAGCTGTTGGGTCGTTTTTCATTTCTCTGTAGGTGGTATTGTCTTTTAGTAGATCTAGCATTTTTTTGTCATACTGAGCGTCCGTCATAATAACTGTTTTATTTGTTTTATCTGGTATCAAAATTTTGAGTTCTTTATGTTGTTTCAGGAAACGTTCTGTTTTTTTAATTTTAGCGCATAGTTTTGAATTTTGTTTATTTTGATCTGTTTTTCTTGGTTTTTTGTTGAATTTATTTTTGTAATTAGTTATTATATTGCAACATTCCGATCGCACCCCGTCCCTAGTTTGAGTGTTAAGACCGTTTAAGGAAGTTTCTATACCTGCAATTATGTCACCGATTGGTAACTGATCGGCTCGTTCTAACGGTGTAGCAAAATTTGGACCAAGACTCAAAACTTCATTTACGTATTCCGGAATAACGGTCTCTGTTAGATTTTCCACCCAATCGGTGACACAAATATCTGGATTTTTGTTTTTTTTGTATAATTGTTCGAATTTCTTAATGTTTTTGTTTTTAATTTTTTGGAACAAGAATTCGGTTTTTTTTGTTTGTCTGTCGATCAAAATTGTTGATATGTTTGCAGGGACTAGAGTGGTGAGCTTTTCTATAAAACCGTCAATTTGCCTTTGTAGTTTTGAGATATTTTTAGTTGTGTCCGTGATTAAAAGATTTATTGTATTTAGCACAAAATTTCCCATGATGCCCTCTCTGAATTTCTTTTCGAGATGTTTACAATTAAAAGTGATGTGTTTCATTTTAAAATTGAGAAAAATGGGGGTTACACCGTCGTTTTTGCACCGAAGGAGGAATATTCTTCTGTTCTTCTGTTTGCATAGTTGTGTTACTGATTTGCAGTATAATTTCAAGGTTCTTGTAGTTCCCTCGCCGAAAGTGTTAGAGATGTATTCGTAGGTAAGCATATTTTCACCCATGCTGTATATATATTGTTTATATTTTGTTTTTTCTTAGACCTTCTCTATATTTATGTTTAGCTTTTGGTTCTTGGGTTATAGGTCTTTGTATTAAAAGCGATTAAAATTTTTTTTGTCCATATATTGACGTTTCGGTCTTCTATGACCTTCTTCAGAAAGGGGTACAGTCTAAAATTATGTTATAGTACAGTTCTTTTTTTTTACATATACACAACGGAATTACAAAGAACCTTACCAAAAAGAGACAAACACAAATCTTAAAATTGAAGAGGTAGCATCATATGAAAGTTTATACTTTAAAAGCGTTTGGTTTTGTCATAGTGCCTAGAAATATTATTGTTTTGGTTTTTTCCAACTATGAGAATAAAAAAGTCATACCCTTGATAAAAGATAAAAGTCCAACAAAAAATGATTTGTATACGGCACTCACACACATAATACACACAAATTTAACGAAACAGTTAAAATATATATAAGAGTTTAAAATAATAATAATAATAATAATACCGATACGCGAGGTTTGCTCGCGTCGACGTTACTGTAAAAACATCGTACGATGCACGATTGTTTTGGTGCAAGGTTCAGAGGATATACAGAGTGTTTTTGTTAATTTATAATTTTTTTCTTTTATTTATTTTAAATTATTTTTATATATTATAATTTTATATTAATATGTTGTTACTTCCATTGTTGTTTTATTTCAGAATGTTGCAATATAACTTACTGAGATTGTTGGTGTCTGTTTTCGAATTTATAGAGTTCTTATTTTTTTGGATCTCAACCATTTCCAGAATTTCCCTTTTTTTTGTATTATTTTCGGTTTTTAGAATTTTTACTTTCGCAAAGTTGAAAGAATGCTTGGTTTCCGCGCAATGACTCTTCAGGGCAGTCGTATTTTTTTTGTCGTATTTGTGACCATTAATTCTGTTTTTAAGATACTGGCTTGTTTGACCGATGTACACACCCTCACAATCGTTGCAAGGTATCTCGTAAATGACGTGACTCTTCTTTTCGTCCGGTATCTTGTCTTTTAATTTACTGAAAATGTTTTTTACCAAATTGTATCCTTTGTGAGCAATAGTAATGTTGTGATTCATAAAAATTTTGCTAAAATTTTCGGACATACTGGGTATATAAGGAAGCGAAAGATAATTTTTTTTTTGTTTTTGCTGGGTGTTGCTTTTTTGTTTAGTTTGGTTATAGAATAGGTGTATACGTTTTTTGAAAATGGTGTTAATTAATCGTTCCGGATAGTTATTTAGTTTTAATGCTTGTTTTGCTTTAGTAATCGATTTTTCTCTGAAATCCGGATCAGAGAGTTTAATTGCACGGTCAGCCAAGCCAATAATTACGGATTTTTTTTGCGATATAGGGTGCTGGGAGTTAAAATTAACGTATCTGGAAGACCAGGTCACTTTAGTGTACCACTCGGTTTTAATTCCTTTTTTTAAATTATGAAGGGTTAAATCTAAAAAGTTGATTTTACTTTGGGACTCTATTTCTATTGTAAATTGTAATTTCTGATGGTAGCTGTTGAAGAGTTGAAGAATTTCGTGTTGTTTGTTTTTTGGTATTGCCGTTATGCAATCGTCTACGTATCTGTAGAAAAAAGGTATGTCAAAAAGGGCATTGCTAAGGACCGACTCCTCCAAATCTTCCAGTACAATTTGTGCGATGGCGCTGGAAATTGAAACTCCCATGGCGCATCCGTCGATTTGTTGATAAAAAACTTTGTTGTATGCAAAATAGGTTGATTTTAGTGTTATTTCGACTGCTTCTAAAAAGTCATCGAGCGGAATGTCGGTAAAGGTTTTGATGTTATCCCATTTTTTGATGATTACTTGCTTAGCAATATTTATTGGAATGTTGGTGTATAGAGAAGCAACATCTAATGAAACTAGGATGTAATCGTTGGGTAGAGAAATATTTTTAATTTTGTTTTTGAAATCAAAAGAGTCTTTAATATAGTATCTATTTTTATGTATAACGTTTTGCAAGATGTTCTTTAAAAATTTTGAGAGTTTTTCAAATGGTGATTGGATACATGATACTATTGGTCTTAGAGGGATGGATTCCTTGTGAAGCTTGGGTAATCCATAAATTCTGGGTGGCTGAGAATTAAGAATTTTTAAGCTTTGCGCTGTGCTATGGGAAATGTATAACTTTTTTTCCCAGGAGGACACTAAGTCGTTGTTCTTTCTCTGAAAAATAGCTGTTGGGTCGTTTTATGGATTACCCAAGCTTCACAAGGAATCCATCCCTCTAAGACCAATAGTATCATGTATCCAATCACCATTTGAAAAACTCTCAAAATTTTTAAAGAACATCTTGCAAAACGTTATACATAAAAATAGATACTATATTAAAGACTCTTTTGATTTCAAAAACAAAATTAAAAATATTTCTCTACCCAACGATTACATCCTAGTTTCATTGGATGTTGCTTCTCTATACACCAACATTCCAATAAATATTGCTAAGCAAGTAATCATCAAAAAATGGGATAACATCAAAACCTTTACCGACATTCCGCTCGATGACTTTTTAGAAGCAGTCGAAATAACACTAAAATCAACCTATTTTGCATACAACAAAGTTTTTTATCAACAAATCGACGGATGCGCCATGGGAGTTTCAATTTCCAGCGCCATCGCACAAATTGTACTGGAAGATTTGGAGGAGTCGGTCCTTAGCAATGCCCTTTTTGACATACCTTTTTTCTACAGATACGTAGACGATTGCATAACGGCAATACCAAAAAACAAACAACACGAAATTCTTCAACTCTTCAACAGCTACCATCAGAAATTACAATTTACAATAGAAATAGAGTCCCAAAGTAAAATCAACTTTTTAGATTTAACCCTTCATAATTTAAAAAAAGGAATTAAAACCGAGTGGTACACTAAAGTGACCTGGTCTTCCAGATACGTTAATTTTAACTCCCAGCACCCTATATCGCAAAAAAAATCCGTAATTATTGGCTTGGCTGACCGTGCAATTAAACTCTCTGATCCGGATTTCAGAGAAAAATCGATTACTAAAGCAAAACAAGCATTAAAACTAAATAACTATCCGGAACGATTAATTAACACCATTTTCAAAAAACGTATACACCTATTCTATAACCAAACTAAACAAAAAAGCAACACCCAGCAAAAACAAAAAAAAAATTATCTTTCGCTTCCTTATATACCCAGTATGTCCGAAAATTTTAGCAAAATTTTTATGAATCACAACATTACTATTGCTCACAAAGGATACAATTTGGTAAAAAACATTTTCAGTAAATTAAAAGACAAGATACCGGACGAAAAGAAGAGTCACGTCATTTACGAGATACCTTGCAACGATTGTGAGGGTGTGTACATCGGTCAAACAAGCCAGTATCTTAAAAACAGAATTAATGGTCACAAATACGACAAAAAAAATACGACTGCCCTGAAGAGTCATTGCGCGGAAACCAAGCATTCTTTCAACTTTGCGAAAGTAAAAATTCTAAAAACCGAAAATAATACAAAAAAAAGGGAAATTCTGGAAATGGTTGAGATCCAAAAAAATAAGAACTCTATAAATTCGAAAACAGACACCAACAATCTCAGTAAGTTATATTGCAACATTCTGAAATAAAACAACAATGGAAGTAACAACATAGGGATATATTAATATAAAATTATAATATATAAAAATAATTTAAAATAAATAAAAGAAAAAAATTATAAATTAACAAAAACACTCTGTATATCCTCTGAACCTTGCACCAAAACAATCGTGCATCGTACGATGTTTTTACAGTAACGTCGACGCGAGCAAACCTCGCGTATCGGTATTATTATTATTATTATTATTTTAAACTCTTATATATATTTTAACTGTTTCGTTAAATTTGTGTGTATTATGTGTGTGAGTGCCGTATACAAATCATTTTTTGTTGGACTTTTATCTTTTATCAAGGGTATGACTTTTTTATTCTCATAGTTGGAAAAAACCAAAACAATAATATTTCTAGGCACTATGACAAAACCAAACGCTTTTAAAGTATAAACTTTCATATGATGCTACCTCTTCAATTTTAAGATTTGTGTTTGTCTCTTTTTGGTAAGGTTCTTTGTAATTCCGTTGTGTATATGTAAAAAAAAAGAACTGTACTATAACATAATTTTAGACTGTACCCCTTTCTGAAGAAGGTCATAGAAGACCGAAACGTCAATATATAGACAAAAAAAATTTTAATCGCTTTTAATACAAAGACCTATAACCCAAGAACCAAAAGCTAAACATAAATATAGAGAAGGTCTAAGAAAAAACAAAATATAAACAATATATATACAGCATGGGTGAAAATATGCTTACCTACGAATACATCTCTAACACTTTCGGCGAGGGAACTACAAGAACCTTGAAATTATACTGCAAATCAGTAACACAACTATGCAAACAGAAGAACAGAAGAATATTCCTCCTTCGGTGCAAAAACGACGGTGTAACCCCCATTTTTCTCAATTTTAAAATGAAACACATCACTTTTAATTGTAAACATCTCGAAAAGAAATTCAGAGAGGGCATCATGGGAAATTTTGTGCTAAATACAATAAATCTTTTAATCACGGACACAACTAAAAATATCTCAAAACTACAAAGGCAAATTGACGGTTTTATAGAAAAGCTCACCACTCTAGTCCCTGCAAACATATCAACAATTTTGATCGACAGACAAACAAAAAAAACCGAATTCTTGTTCCAAAAAATTAAAAACAAAAACATTAAGAAATTCGAACAATTATACAAAAAAAACAAAAATCCAGATATTTGTGTCACCGATTGGGTGGAAAATCTAACAGAGACCGTTATTCCGGAATACGTAAATGAAGTTTTGAGTCTTGGTCCAAATTTTGCTACACCGTTAGAACGAGCCGATCAGTTACCAATCGGTGACATAATTGCAGGTATAGAAACTTCCTTAAACGGTCTTAACACTCAAACTAGGGACGGGGTGCGATCGGAATGTTGCAATATAATAACTAATTACAAAAATAAATTCAACAAAAAACCAAGAAAAACAGATCAAAATAAACAAAATTCAAAACTATGCGCTAAAATTAAAAAAACAGAACGTTTCCTGAAACAACATAAAGAACTCAAAATTTTGATACCAGATAAAACAAATAAAACAGTTATTATGACGGACGCTCAGTATGACAAAAAAATGCTAGATCTACTAAAAGACAATACCACCTACAGAGAAATGAAAAACGACCCAACAGCTATTTTTCAGAGAAAGAACAACGACTTAGTGTCCTCCTGGGAAAAAAAGTTATACATTTCCCATAGCACAGCGCAAAGCTTAAAAATTCTTAATTCTCAGCCACCCAGAATTTATGGATTACCCAAGCTTCACAAGGAATCCATCCCTCTAAGACCAATAGTATCATGTATCCAATCACCATTTGAAAAACTCTCAAAATTTTTAAAGAACATCTTGCAAAACGTTATACATAAAAATAGATACTATATTAAAGACTCTTTTGATTTCAAAAACAAAATTAAAAATATTTCTCTACCCAACGATTACATCCTAGTTTCATTAGATGTTGCTTCTCTATACACCAACATTCCAATAAATATTGCTAAGCAAGTAATCATCAAAAAATGGGATAACATCAAAACCTTTACCGACATTCCGCTCGATGACTTTTTAGAAGCAGTCGAAATAACACTAAAATCAACCTATTTTGCATACAACAAAGTTTTTTATCAACAAATCGACGGATGCGCCATGGGAGTTTCAATTTCCAGCGCCATCGCACAAATTGTACTGGAAGATTTGGAGGAGTCGGTCCTTAGCAATGCCCTTTTTGACATACCTTTTTTCTACAGATACGTAGACGATTGCATAACGGCAATACCAAAAAACAAACAACACGAAATTCTTCAACTCTTCAACAGCTACCATCAGAAATTACAATTTACAATAGAAATAGAGTCCCAAAGTAAAATCAACTTTTTAGATTTAACCCTTCATAATTTAAAAAAAGGAATTAAAACCGAGTGGTACACTAAAGTGACCTGGTCTTCCAGATACGTTAATTTTAACTCCCAGCACCCTATATCGCAAAAAAAATCCGTAATTATTGGCTTGGCTGACCGTGCAATTAAACTCTCTGATCCGGATTTCAGAGAAAAATCGATTACTAAAGCAAAACAAGCATTAAAACTAAATAACTATCCGGAACGATTAATTAACACCATTTTCAAAAAACGTATACACCTATTCTATAACCAAACTAAACAAAAAAGCAACACCCAGCAAAAACAAAAAAAAAATTATCTTTCGCTTCCTTATATACCCAGTATGTCCGAAAATTTTAGCAAAATTTTTATGAATCACAACATTACTATTGCTCACAAAGGATACAATTTGGTAAAAAACATTTTCAGTAAATTAAAAGACAAGATACCGGACGAAAAGAAGAGTCACGTCATTTACGAGATACCTTGCAACGATTGTGAGGGTGTGTACATCGGTCAAACAAGCCAGTATCTTAAAAACAGAATTAATGGTCACAAATACGACAAAAAAAATACGACTGCCCTGAAGAGTCATTGCGCGGAAACCAAGTATTCTTTCAACTTTGCGAAAGTAAAAATTCTAAAAACCGAAAATAATACAAAAAAAAGGGAAATTCTGGAAATGGTTGAGATCCAAAAAAATAAGAACTCTATAAATTCGAAAACAGACACCAACAATCTCAGTAAGTTATATTGCAACATTCTGAAATAAAACAACAATGGAAGTAACAACATAGGGATATATTAATATAAAATTATAATATATAAAAATAATTTAAAATAAATAAAAGAAAAAAATTATAAATTAACAAAAACACTCTGTATATCCTCTGAACCTTGCACCAAAACAATCGTGCATCGTACGATGTTTTTACAGTAACGTCGACGCGAGCAAACCTCGCGTATCGGTATTATTATTATTATTTTAAACTCTTATATATATTTTAACTGTTTCGTTAAATTTGTGTGTATTATGTGTGTGAGTGCCGTATACAAATCATTTTTTGTTGGACTTTTATCTTTTATCAAGGGTATGACTTTTTTATTCTCATAGTTGGAAAAAACCAAAACAATAATATTTCTAGGCACTATGACAAAACCAAACGCTTTTAAAGTATAAACTTTCATATGATGCTACCTCTTCAATTTTAAGATTTGTGTTTGTCTCTTTTTGGTAAGGTTCTTTGTAATTCCGTTGTGTATATGTAAAAAAAAAGAACTGTACTATAACATAATTTTAGACTGTACCCCTTTCTGAAGAAGGTCATAGAAGACCGAAACGTCAATATATGGACAAAAAAAATTTTAATCGCTTTTAATACAAAGACCTATAACCCAAGAACCAAAAGCTAAACATAAATATAGAGAAGGTCTAAGAAAAAACAAAATATAAACAATATATATATATATATATATATATATATATATATATATATATATATATATATATATATATATATATATATATATATATATATATATATATATATATATATATATATATATATATATATATATATATATATATATATATATATATATATATATATTATTATTATTATTATTATTATTATTATTATTATTATTATTATTATTATATCAATTATTTGAAATCGCTAAAGCAAAAATAAAGTTAGCAATAGGTTGAAGAAAACTTTAATAAACAGATAAAGCTGAAAATAATTGTGTATATATGTTTATCCAAAAACCACCACATTTCCAGAATTATCAAACATAATTTCAGTTGTTTAAAGGAATATTATCAGTGTTATCCAACGCTGCCAAAAAATGTGTTTGTGTACTGTATGTAACCCTATTTTTCATATGTTTGTATTAATTACGCGTTGATTTGTTGCGGAGGTTCCACGTGCGGAGGAAGCCTTTAGGAAGCAGAAACACATTTTACCGATTAAGTCGTGGAATTTTTCATGTCGAGACCTATTTCTACAACACTCTTTATTGACACTTCCTAATCTTTATATGTTCTCAAGAAACTCAGACATCAGTATAATTTAAGAGCGAATCTTAACATACAAATACATAGACGCCGACTGTCTTTTACATCAAATAGTCCTTTTGTTTTGACCTAAAAAATTTATAATAAATTTCCTATCGAAATGAAGGAAATAGTCAAACAAAATTCAAATACACTCTTAAAAACAAATTACTATCACTCGCTTATTACAATATTACGGATTTTTTTTAAATACGTATTCGTTGTTTGTTATTATCTATATATTTGGTATTTATCTAACGTTAGTAATTGTCATTATTATTAATTAACTAATTAATTATACGAACGTAATTTTATATTATTTATATTTGTAACTTGTAACTCAAGACTTTGCCGATTAAGCTATCTTTATCATTATCTTTAAAGGAAAATGTGTAAATAAAACAAATTTAACAATATGCGTATATGAAACAAAATTAACATTTTGCTTTCATATACGCATTACAAAATTTTCAGCGGGATTTTATGATTAAACTGTACACAAAATGCCTATATCCAAAAAAATTTGTTCCACCAACACACCGTAGCAAGTCCCTCGATTCCATGAATTATTAATGGTACCTTCAAAGTCGAGACATTGAAGATTGAAGCTCTTCGCCTGTCTGAGGAATATGACAACGCCGCGTCGGTCGGCAGGGTGCGGCTGACAGACGGTCTACAACTATGATGCGATCTTCCACTTGTTTCTAGCGTTTATTGAGCGGGAATGCAAGTTATGACTTTATAAAAAGGTAAATAAATTACAAGCATTTCAATTCAAAAACACAGCAACGCCGTGATACGACGTTGTGACATTTAAATTTGTTTCGAACGGTTCTATTATTATTAACTCGTTACTTCTATACCAAACTAATAGGACATCAATTTTAATAATAAATAATTACGCATTAAAGAATTTTAGGGAACTAACTTTGCCCACATTGGGCGTTAACCTTATGCAATGAGCAGTATACTTTAGGATGTAGTTGTAAAGAGGATGATGATGTCTCAATTTATTTTCCAATGCACCGGATCTCCGATGTTCTATCCTCTTATTCCATAAGGATAAGATGCAGAAGATACTATATAGTGTAATTTAGGCTATACCGTAACATAAATA